GGAGGGGGAGAGGAGGGGGGCGGTTCTGGCGTGGACGAGCATGGTAAGTATTATTACGCATATTTTTGCTCCCTTTTGGTGAGATTGCTTGCTGACAGTGTCAGTCCGTTACGAGAGAAGGCCCGGCCTGGACGCTCGTTACACTCACAAAGCAAGAAAGCGCGCGCGCGTATACAGCTGAAAGAATTATGATGACGTCAGTGACGTCTATTCATTCTTTGCTCCTTTTCCCTCCCCAGGTCGCCCCTCTTGCTCCCACTCATGTGCCTTGGCACTTCCCCTCCCCCCTCTCCATCTCCTTGCTGTGTGTTTACACGGCCCAGGCGCAGACCACGTCACCACGCGGAGGGACGCTCTGACGCTCGGGTCCTCTCACTGTACCACCACCCCGCCCGTACGGCATTACTAATGCACTGATTTGCTCGGGGTGAAGTAGTAGGACTTTTAAAGACGACAGGTGCGACGGGGGTCAGCAACTGCAACTTGGTGTCACAAGCGGTGCACGCTTCACCGCACCGAGAAGTTATAATTGTCAAAAAATGAACATTTTGACGACTCGTTAAACTACCTACTTGAATCACAATCAAATTTCAGATTTCTGTGTGGCTTAGAGGCAACGCTTCTACAGTTACTTACTGAGCACTCAAAGGTGTGGAGGTATAGTCATTGGCATCATAGAAGTCTTCATCCTCTGAGCTGGAGTAGGATATATCGGGGACTAGGAGAGTCATGCTGGGCCTGTGGGCACCAGCCGCCACACTGAGAGCTGTGAAACAAACAAAAAACATGGTCACAAGGAACTGTAGTAAAAATCATAAATGTAGCCACACAAACACGCCTCAAAAGTAATATCCGTTGAGAGAGTGAGACACATGAGTTTGTATTAAGAGAACAAGCAGATCAATGACTAAGAAAAGAAAGCAAGTACCACAGTATGCACAGAGCAATCACCCCACCTCCCCTTCGCAAGCAAGCAGGACAACTAACACACACTAACCAGAGAGAGACAGAGGGAGGGAGCCAGGTGGCGCGGGCGGTCCGATGGTAGGAGAAGAGGGTGGAATATTTGCCACATCCGCTCCCATTTCGATTCCAGTGTGCACGAGAGTAGATGTCAGACTTGACATATCCGGTCCTGCGACACAACACATACTATCCAGGCTGAACCAATCACCACAAGTCACAAAATTAAAATCCCAAAACACAAGTTAAACCATGCTGTCCTCTTGTAAATAAGGGTTAACAAGGAGAGGAAAATCCTGACATGAAAAACAAGGATTAGTCTAGCAGAGCCCACCCATTCAATACCTTTACAGATAACAATACAGGACACTTATAGAAATATTCATGAACACAGCATGCTCTAAACTATTTCTGTTATTTGTGACAAATGTGAAACATGCAAACCACTGTTTTGTCAGAATTTTAAAAATGGAACAATGATAGCATCCTAACTGTCAATTTACTAGATAGAACGTTACCTGAATCTGGTTTAGATGTAGGAGAGGAGTCATTAAGAGTGTAGGTGGAAGTAGCTGGTTGGAATATTCCATTGACAGGATGAGCAGTGTTCTAAAACAACAGTAATAAAGTAGATGTGTGTGAGGATGATGTTCAGTACAACTAAATAAGTAGTATTTTCTAAAGTGAAAATGCATTTACCTTAGCAATCTGCAATAGTACTATGGAATGTTTTACATTTTCAAGCAGTGCCTGTGAAACAAATAAAAGATACAACTAATAATAGATTTCTGAAATTCATACAAAAAAATAAAAAATAATATCATGATAAACAAAATACATTAGCATGGTCCCGAATATGAAGTCCATGGGATTTATCTGAGGGGTCCTGCATTTTATCAATTCGTTCTTCTAGAGCCTAAACCAATAAAATATCAATAGGTCAAAATTTTTATTTAACAAAATTGGTGAGGAATTTATCAGAAGAGTAAAAAGAAAGAGCTTCCTTACCTCTACTTGGTTTATCAAGATCTGTAAGTAGGCATCAGCTTCAATTAGTTTCTTGTCAAAATCTTGAACAGAAGGTGCTGGTTTTGATGGATCCCACCGCAACTGAAGAAAGTCAATAATAAATATGAAAATTTTAAAGAAAGAATGCATTAACATTAACAGTTTCAGACATTCACTTGCCTTGTGTGCATGTCTTAAGATTGTGTCTTCCAGAGCTCTAATCCACTTTTCCCTCTCATCGGCATCTCTTGCTTGGAAGTGAAAAGTTTTACTGTCAACTGTTATGGTAAAAGTACTGTCATCTTCATCATCAATTCCTATAACAGCACCTTTCAACCGAACACAGCCACGTCGAACACCACGTATCATTTTTTCTCTAGACTGAAAGAAAGTCAAAAAAAGAAAAAACTGGAGTAAGATTTCAAAACAGGGATATTACAGAAATTTACAACTTTCTAAATTCATCTAATGCAAAGGAAAATTCTGCATGGCAAAAACTTTTAGTGTTGTCTTTCTTCACGTAAAAGGCCACGTAGTACTACCATTAGCAGCCAGACAGAACACCCAAGGACAGTCTGGGCCTAACGAATCCAATAAATAGCCATGATTTGCATTCCTAATTTACATTTGTGTTGAAGCCACCAACCCTGCACAACGCGGGAAGGCAGGGGGCGTCAGTCATTTCCTCTATCTACATCACCGAAGACAGATTACTTGGAAACCTGGAAAGTGGTGGTGAAAACTTCAAGAATTCTGACAAAACTCATGAAGACTATCGTCTAAGTGGCATATCAGTGATTTTCTGTTTTTCTTCGTACAACTGTGAAAATAAAATTAAAAAAGCCATGGGTATTGTTGAGAACTACCACTGGATTTTTTTTGAGAATGATGGTAAGTAAATTAGTATTTTTGAAGTGGAAAATAACAGATAGTGGCCTAACTGTATCCTTAATGTACCATTCAAAAGTGAAAATTTAAGCAAGAATGTTTTATCTTCCAGACCCCCGAGTTAGAGAATGGGCACTGATGGGAACACCAGTTTGGCCTATCACACTTTGTCTTCTATATTTGTTCATTGTATTATGGGCTGGACCAAAATACATGAAAAACAGGACGCCATACAAACTGGACACGTTTATCTTTTACTACAATATATACCAAGTTATTGCCTGTACCGCGTTAGTTTATGGGGTAAGTACTTAAATTTCTTCTACTAGAATTTCAACCACATATTCTGAGATCTAAAAGGTATTCTACAACAGATTACAACAAATGGATGGACAACTCATTACAGTTGGAAATGTCAACCAGTGGACTACACAGAAAAAGGATTACCAGTAAGTTCTACATAAAAAATGACATTGAAGAAAAAAACTATTTTAAAACCAAATCAGCACACTGTTTGAATGTCTCTTACAGATGCTGAACTGGATGTATTTTACAGCCCTTTTGAAGTTATCGGAATTTATCGAAACTGTGAGTGAACTTTGGAATAACTCAATATAGTTCAGACTAAATATTATCATAAGAATATACTAATGTTGTGATTTTTGATTGGCAGATTGTTTTTGTTTTACGTAAAAAGGACAGGCAAATCTCATTCCTTCATGTGTACCATCATGTTTCTACATTTTTGCTGGCCTGGGTAGGAGCAAAATTTGTTGGAGGTAAGTTATATTATTCAAATTTTAGCAAATGCTATGAGTCACATTTTGGAAAAAAACCTTCCATTACATTTCTGTTTTGTATATCAGGTGGAATGGCAACCTTCCCTATCATCCCAAACAGTATTGTTCATATTGTGATGTACACCTACTACCTGCTCAGTATCAACAAAAATGAATCACTTCAGAAGGTGCTTAACACAATTAAACCATACATCACAATCATGCAAATGGTGAGTCATAAACAAAGATGAAATATTGAATGTATGTACTCAATTTCATACTAATTTCTTTCAAAATCCACAGGTACAATTTTGCATTATCATTGCTCATGCATTGCAGGCATTGAGACCCGACTGTCATGTTCCCAAACATTTAGCCTGGGCTTTCATCCCTAACGTTTTCTTAATCTTCTACCTATTCTATGACTTCTATACCACAAACTTCATCAAGCCACAAGTCAGTTCAAAAAAGACTAAGGCAACAAAGGCTTCATAAATTGACATGACCAAGATTGTAATTCAATTATAAATTTAATGTATATATTGATTTAAGGACGCATGTAAATTACAGAAATGGTGAACAAAAATGACTAATTAGTAATTATATATGCTGGCACGCAAGTATTTTGATTTGTAATATTTATTTTTTAATTAAAGAAAAGGTCTATATTGATTATTTAAATACATTTGGCTGGCTGATTTTAGATCCGTTGTAGTAAAATGATAGAAGACTGCTCAAAAATAAAGAAAGAATGCCCATATATTTTAAAATAGAAAATAGAATTAAATCAACACCTCCTGAACATTTAATCATGGTTGACAAGAAATTCAAACATAGCGGTTTAATTTGGGTCTTGGATGGCAATGTGTAGAAGTATCAAATTCGGATGCTACCACAATGAATGTAATTGACAACTGTTCTTGGAGAGAAAGAAGAAATTTACTAAAGATATACTAATATAATATTCTCATCACTCACTTCTGCTGCCAAATATGAGCAAACACAGAGAAACTGAGACATAACCTCAGCAGAAATGTACGACCGTCTTCAGTTGGATATCATGGGATAGGGTCCGAGAGAACTATAGAACTTGATATATTGAGTGTCAAGCTTGAACGAAATATAAGGAGTATCCAAAAGTCAAAGTGACTGGAAGTTAGCATCCACTTCTCGAAGCCGATTCATTGGGGAAAAACACATCATCGTCAAGTCAAATGTTTGCCCTGAAACTTACCGTGTAGTATGACAGCAATCCTGCATTGTCGTCTAAAACAAACCAACGAAACTGCCAGCCCTTCATAACATTGGTCCATTTACTCAAAGACCCTTCCATGATGGTAGCCATATTCCAATGGAAATCAACATCGACAACAACCTCTCTCCTCCTCCAAAAAAGTCTTGTCTGCTGTCTGCTGACAGCATACTACCGTCGGCAACCGCTGGGGAGCGCCACTGTCCATGGCAAACTCGGGTAAAACTGCGGGCAGGAGTAGTGGTGGAACCGCGAGCACTGCGCGATACCGCGATACTAGCTCTAGTCTGGGACTATAATGGTCGAGCAAGTCCTATTTAATTTATTTTAAAAAATTCTGGTCATGCAAAATTATTTTCTCTTTCATTGTAAGAAGTATTAAAATAAGCATACAGTCTCCAGTATTTTTCCTGTGATGTACAAAATTGCCTTTTTCACATTTGGACTGAATTTTTGGGCCAGCAAGACCGTCAACATAAGGTCTCAGTTATAGCTTCAGCTTTAGTTATAGTTAGGTACTAGGTAATGACTTCCGAGGCAGAACAAACCAAGCACCTGCCGCCCGTTTCGGAGTCAGCTTGCCGCCTGCAAACACCTGGGTAGGCACACCCGCCGAACAGCCCTGCGGAGTCGGCTGCCCACCCTGGCGGCGCCCAGGTGCAAGAACTTAACTACGGAAATCGTCAGGGGCATCCTTTTCTTATCACCTTGACAAACATTCATTCTGAGAGCTCCGTTAGAGGAAAAGACAAAGAAATTACATATTTCAGCTCCGTATTTTGAGAGTAGAGATAGTGGCCTCATCACTATCATTCAGGCTTCACGATGGAAGAACCCAAACTAGAAACTGGACAGCTTTAGCATCAGCAACATAAAGTTTAGATTTAGAGGAACAATAACTTTCGCTAAGTAGTGCCGGCCTCATCGCCTTGACAACTGAAGTAATAAAGTGCAAAAGTACTTATGGACATTAAAATAAAAAGATCACAAGTGCATAGTAATTGGTTTATTTTCAAAGCTTACAGGAAAAGAATCAAGTAGATCAAGAATAGCATAGTATTTATCCATAAACAGCAGCAGAGGATATTTGCTGTCAAATATCACAGCATAAATCATAAAATATATCTCTTCTTCACCAGTTCAGAAATGAGAGCATTCAGAAACTTTGCACATGTCGTAAAGCTGCATCTTGTTAGGCTTCTTTAAGCTGACTAGCCACATGAAGCAACCGGAGACTGCTGGTTCTGA